GATGCTGTAAAAATACCCAGACCAAAAACTTCTCCCTCTTACTACCCTGGATTCTACCTCCGACATAGTGACTAATCATGCAGTATATTCTAGTCTTTTGGAGGATCAGATCAAAAAGATCCAGGCTGTCAACCTCTTTATGACACTGGTGAGGAAACATAGCCAGTTCCACAAACAACAGCGGTGCGAGCAGCAGTTCACCAGCACTCAGTAATGGATCCTCAGATCTGTCTCAGAACATTGACTTTTACTCATCTCATTTGCATTGTTCCTCTGCCATATTTTAAACCTTCTATTTGTTTAACTAGAAAATAAAACTTTTAACTGTGTCCCTGTAAGTTATATCCCTAATCATCAGATGCGGCTTTACTAATAAGTGTTTCCAAGACTATCATGCCAACTAACCAAATACAACTGGCCTGCACAGTAAAGAAATACTTGAGAACCCTCCACCTCCATCTATTAAAATAAGAATGTTAGTCTTACTTCATTAATTTTTGCTTTTTGGCAGAGTCTTTGAAGCTTCTGAATTCCTCTCCTTCTTTAATCTCAAAAAATTGAGGTTTCAGTAATGTTTGCTGATCCTCCTTGAACCTTTCCTGCCGCTTTACTTTTTCCTCTTGGCGTAAAAGTTTGCGCTGTTTCCTGACCTCTTCAACCCAGCCTTTTTCATCATCTGAACTCTCAGAGCTTTCTGCATCACTTGGTTTTCCTTCTGGTTCTTCTTCCTCTTCCTGCAGACAAAAATAGTTTAAAATAAGGAATCATCAACTAATTTTCTTTTCAAACCATTCCTGCAATTAGAGGACGTGACAGCTTTACATAAGCACAGTTGAAGACAACTTAAATTTGAAAAAAGCACTAACAGCAAACGAAGCAGAAAAAAGATTATAAAATTACCTCCACCTACACATTATATGTTCTTCTAACCTATATTTAGGTAGACATAATATTATTCATATCTGAAAACAAGCAATGATAACATTATAAATTATATCTAAATTACTGTAGGTGGTAGATATTTTTCCACTTCTTTCCTCTTTTCTTCTTTCTAGGGTAAAAAGTTCGAATGTCTGAAACAAAATAAAAAACTACAGATCTTCCCAGATAGAAAATATTTTACCTGTTCTTGTGCTTCCTTTTCCTCCAAGATCTTTAGTTTCTTCTTTCGTTTCTCACTTATTTTAGAAACAAGTGGGTTAAGCAGCCTAAATTCTTCACTCTGCTCATCTACCTGGAAATCTGGGTTCTCAAACATGACCTTAAAACGATCATCTTTGAGAAGGCTAGGCAGATTCTGGAAAAGAAGCAAACTGTGAGTTAGTCACAACATTCTGAAATTGGTAGACCAAAGTTCATTCAGTTAACACCTACTTAATTAAACAAAACCCCCAAACAGTATGGGATATGCCAGTTGCTTTCTCCTTCCAGATCATATAATAAAAGATTTATTTTAATTACGTTTTATTACTTTCACGAAGCAAGTAACTATCATTCTAAGTTATTCGTAAGCAAGATGGTTTCTTATGCACACTATAGACACCTTAAATACACTATCACTAATATTTTTGAATTAATGTTTCTCATATATTCAGCCAGCTAATCTGGAGATATGTTGATATCTATTGGCTAATCAGCAGTTACTCCAAGGCAAACACCCTGCCTGATCAGGATGATTCTAAAACATATAAAACAAATTATTAGGGTATAACATATCTTTATGCACTGTTACTATTGTTTTGGTGAAAATATTTAAGAGCAATGGTTTCTGTACATCTTAGACAGTTTTTCTATGCTGCCTTCACATACAGCAATGCAAAAGTCAATTTGTTCCCGTGAAAAGAAAATTAAGCCATTGTAAGTTATGTCACTGCCGAATTAGGCACAGTTCAAGCTTATGTGAATAAGCTATTGTTGTTGTTGTTTTAAACCACTGAACACACAGCTTTTTATCCTAAAAAGCTTATCTGCCAACACTGCCAAACTTAAAGCACATTTATCCCACCCCCACCACTACATTTCCACAGCTGTCTAAGAACGGGGGAAAAACAATAGAGAAAGGAATAACTGTAAATCTCAAATACAGAAGGTGTTGCAAATATGTGACTTGCAGTTTTATTTGGAAAATAAAATTCCAATTCCAAAGCCGCAAATAAACTGCTCTTCATGAGACTCTTAATGCCATTTCAGGAAAATAATATGTTTTTACATACTCTCATTAACTACTTAAAAATATGATCCATATTCCTAGACAAATTCCACCCTCCCCCATTTATTGAACGCATATTTCCATCATAATGGAGGCTTGGAAAGTTTGTATTTAAGGTGTTATCATCACCTACTTTTTCAACAATTCATGCTTCCTATCACCTCAGTTATAACACATAAGGTTTCATGAGATGCTCCACAAAGTTAATGTCTGCCTCGCTTACTATTTCATGAGAGCTGTATTCCTGCAAGAATAAGCAACTATAGAAAGACATCTACATAAAGCTCCACAGGTTTCTGCTAATTTATAGAGACTGACAAGGCAAATTTCTGCTATGCCACTCCCTCCTACCAGATATTAATCATTAATTCATTTTTCCTTTAAATAATATTGAACATAGAAATAGATTACTTTCAAAATCAACTATTATCAACTCCTGCGTAAGAGTGAACCATTTTGCCTACTGCAACTACATTATAAAATGTAGTTAACATTTTACTAACAATACTAACAAATGAAGTTCATGTGTATAAAAAAAGGCAATTATACTGCAGTGCTACTTTGGGAAACTGCCTGCTTTTTGTTTCTACAGATAACGCTATCTTGTTGCGGTCACCACCAAAATACCAACAAACGAAAAAAATGTTTTTTTGGACAACTTTGTTATTGACACTGCATTTAGCTAGCTTCTGGATTCCTATGAAACCCTTATCATCTTCACAGTGAGTATTTCATCATTATACACTTATTACATATATGACTGAAAAGTTCTGGTACCCCAGCTGCAGTGAAGTCCACCTGTCAGAATAAGCTATCTAAGGAGTTAAGAAACAATGGAATTTTGAATCTGTTTGGCCAGATAACAGTAATCAGTCACTGTAAACAACTCTATTCCTGTGTTCCTAGTTAAAGCAATTTCCAAAACAAAAGCTCACCTTTTGTTTCCTTTTTCTAGTAGCCTGTTGCTCCTCTTCTTCTTCAATCAGTTTGAGTGCAAGCTCTTTATTGACTTTTGGAAGTTTCTGATGAGGATAAAGCAATTAATTAGTATACTATTCTTTCATGCAGAAAAAACCTACATACTTTACATTCATGAGTTTGACCTCCAAAGCATAATTTTTTTTTTTTACAACATGTAACACTCACTCCTGATCAAATAAAATAAAAAACTACACTTATCCCACCGGTATGATTAGAATCAAACTTTGCATGCTATTTTAACAGACTAAGTGCTTCCTACAAAACCAGCATTACATTTATTAGCTTTTTCACTTATTAGATTGTTAGCCATTGGATTAAGAAAAAAGGAGAAGGTCCCCAAAACAGTGATCTTACTGAAGATAAACAAAAAGTATACTTGGACATTTTAGTAGGTGACTGAAAGCACATCATATTAAGAAGAAATAATTCTTATTCATTCTTACAGCCATTGGTGAAAGAGCTTCTTGGTTGGTTGAGAATATTCCCAAATACTAGCAAGGCTTGGAGAAAACTTATGTAGGGCTTCTGTATTGTTCTTCCTTGTAGGACATCAGGTTTGGTATTTTGAAAGCAATTATTTTTCCTTATATGTTGAAAAAATTTAATTTAGAAAGCTACTAAGCCTTCCACCTTCTACTAAGGTAGAAACATAGAGCTTCTACTAAGGTAGAAGCACAGAGCCCCTGAATAGTATTTTTATTTATCTCTCTCACAGTATTATATTTTAACGGCCTAAGTCATTTGGTTTAAAGACAGAAGTAGAAACTGCAAGTTTTAATCACCGGTTATCTGCTCAAGTGCCAAACGTGATGAGAGCTGTTCTTTTATTGTTTGGTATCACCTCTTCTCATTTGTAGGATTCATATGCATGCAAATGTTATTGGCTCCAATAAAAAAAAAATTAAGAACTTCACTCTGCATCTCTGATGACAAACAGAACCAAATCAAATCTCTGAGATACACTGAAGACGGTATTAATCTTTACGAAGAGTTTTCTCCAGAAGCTTACTCATTGGAAACAGGATTTACCTTTAGTTGAACTCTCTGTGCACGCGTTTCTTCTATTTTCTGTCTTATTTTCTCTCTTCTGTATTCTTCGTAAGCAAATGGGTTGGCCATCATTTTTGCCTTTAATCAAACAGAACGTAGTAAAGAAAAAATATCACTAATACAAGAGACAGTCTTTTACTTCAAAAAAAAAAAAAAAAGCACAACTATTTTATCATGAAGAGCAAAAACTTACAAGAATTAGCCTTATTTACCTTATGATAAAGTCGTATGTCCATGAAAAAGCCATGCATATATGCTCTGAGCAATGATGATCCAATGAGATGAGCAAGGCCTGGGAAAAAAATTACAGAGCATTCATTTCAAAGACCTTTGATATATAAAGAACTCCTATTCCAAGCAAGCCACTTTACTCAATTCAAGACAAAAAAGCACTGCCAACGCAATACATCAGTCTCTCTAATAGTCACATCTATTACATCAAGACCAAGTAAAACCACAAGCAAATCAGTTAGGCCAGCAAGAAATTTGAGCTACTTCAGAGCAATACAGTCCTTTTTTCTTGTCATAATACAAGTTATTGTGCACTTTTTAAAGCTGCCCACATTTACTACACTCTATAGAAAATTTAGAAGGAAAAGATTGAGAGAATTTTTTTTGAAAGTCCATACATGTTTGATTATCACTTTTTTAGTGTGGCATAGAGCTGTTTTTAATTAAAGAGTTTTGCCTTGGGTCATTATCTTTGAAGAATTAACATGATGAAAGAAATACAGTACCACATCAGATCACAAAACTGTCACCCTAGCCCCTAACCTCAGTAAGAATGAAAAAAAACTTAAGTGTTCTCACATTTTCATTTCATATATCTTCACAAAATTCCAAAACTGAGAAAAAGAGAAGCTTTTTATAAGTAAAATCTCCTCTGACAATACCAGATCTTTAGAAAATAAAAATTAACAAACTTATTCTAGAATTAAATAAAAAGTGAGATAACTCTGTGCACCTCAGAAAGCAAAGTTCTCTCTAAAAAGTTTTAGCTATTTCCAGGAGTCAGTCTTCCTGCATGTTCCAAAAAAAAAAAAAAAAAAAAAAAAAAAGTACCCCAGTTAAAGGCTAGTAAATAAAAAAAAAAAAAAAGGCACTAGGACATATGAAGTGAAAGGTACCCCTTAAGTTAAGCTCGTTCTTCATTTGAAAACTTACATTTACGCGGAAATCATATAGAGAATCAAAGCAGAAAAACTATGCCCAGTCAACTCTGTGTGGATAATACCATAATGCGTTAATCCGTTCAGTTTCAAACAAGGATCTGCAGGCTACATTTAGACCACCAGCTTTAGAAGATGCAGGTGCTTTGGAGGACCTTCTCCTTGTATGGCCCCTTGCCAGGCCTAAGTTAATTACCATAGAGTGGCATTTTATTCAGAGCTAAAGGAATTAAACTAACCTGGAGTAAAGCACTGCAAAATTACAGTACACAACAGGAAGAAAAAGGATTAACTAGTTTGAGTGAAACATACCTCCTCCATTTTCAATACTCTAGTACCATACATGTTAAAACTCTTGTTTTTGTTGGCCCTAGAACGATTTGTATTTTCTGAAGGAAAATATTACTTTTAATGAAGATATCTTCTTGCAGGTGAATTTTTTTCCTAATTTGCTATGAGTTCCAACATACTGTTAGAGCACCTAAAACATTTTGAAAGCTAAATGAACTTTTCCTGTGCCTTCCACTGAGTGTCTGAAAGCATACACAACAGATTCCTAGACATACAAAATCAGCAAATATCAATCTTCTCCTTGGGATAAAAATCTTAGAAATACAAACATTTATTGTTACACTGGGCAGGAATCAAAGAACATAAAGCCATCAGTCTAGTATGTTAATAACCAAGAGGGTTAGAGGAAACTATCGCCAGTGGATTTCTAACAGTCCTCCACGTTGCCTGTATGTCGCATCTGAACTACAAACCTACACATATTAATGTTCTAAAACTGAACAAAGCAACCAAATGAAGAGGAGAATCAAGTGTTTTACCTAAATTTTCAAGGTCTTTTCTGGTAACAAATTTGTAATCATCATAAACTGTGCTCTCTGGATTCTCTTCCAGCTCTTCAGTCAAGTTGTCCAGGAAGGAACACCATTTTGGGGCAGGTCCTAAAACCTGTGGATATGAAAGAATATTATAAAACTGTATATTCCTGCACAGAGAACTACAGCTAGACTCTCAGCTACCGTGCTGTAATAAAAGAATAAACAAATCCCTCTGAAAACAATGTACTTTAAGAACAACAGCAGTTAGAAAACACAATTAAACCTACTGCTTGCATTACCAATAAGGAATACTATAAATTATGTAAGGGTTATTTTAATTTAGGTTATTTATTTGAGGCCCACAATTTAGAGGCTTCATGTTTAGCTGTTTCAGGTCGTCACAGGCTCACTGAATAATTTATTAAAAGCTACCCTCAGAAACAAATATAGATACAATTATGAACTTAACTAATGGCACTAGATATTAAACTACTACGTCAAGTACAGCTGGATCTTGAACTCTTTAGCTCAGTAAGCAATCATGTTAAATCCTATTCTGTCCTATTGATTTTAATTAAGACAAAACATCACATGCACATTTCATATTTTTTATTCAAGGAAAAACCCATATTGTATGAAGAGATAATGGGAAACATTAAGAAAATATCTGCATATTTCCTCTGTGAGGCAAAGGATTTGTGGTTGCACTATCGATATACTTTTCCATATACACGTCCTTCAAATGTCCCAAGTTAACAATTAGCTCCCTTCACTGTTCCCTTCTGCTGTCCTGGTTGGAATCCCTCTCTATCCTTGCTGTGCCAGTATGATTATTTTAGTTAGTGAGCTAGCTGAATGGAAAAATTCAATGCTACATTTTTCTCTCTGGAGCAAATCGACATCTTAGAATGTAAAGTGGCTAGTTAACTTCTGTAGAGTATGACTTCCAGTTTGTCTGCTGAAAATGTATATGAAAAACTCCTCAATCAAAATGACAATACAGATAGTAATGGTTGTCATTCAAAACCAACATTAAGATCTTATTTGAGTATGGAAACAAAGAGAAGTGATTGTATATCTATAAAATACATAGCTTGTTTTAACATGATAGGTGTGGTAACAATAAGAGATAATGTTCCACATTTAAAAAATGTGTGTTAGTACTCCATTCAAAAGAACTAGTCTTTGAATACAACTACACATATGAAACCACACAGTTGTTTCCTAGACCACAATATTCGAGTATTCTAGACGTTAATATGGCATTTTAGACCACTGCTGTTTTTGTGTCAAGTACTATCTGAGGCTCTGAGATACTGTTTCTTCCAGTAAAAAGTAAAATATTTATAAAATTTTCTTTATAAGATTTCATTCCTAACTGAAAACTGTAACATGCCATCTCAAAAATTGCACTAGGCAGCTCTTTTTTTTACAGTGCTGCATATTTTATTCCGATTAGTTAAGAGCTCTCAAGGAAAAAGCTATGGTGTCACTGACAAAAAAGACATTACATATTTAATCAATTAAACAAATCCTCATGTCTGATCCAGTAATAGTCAGCTTAAGCATTATGCATACAACATTCAGATTGATTTCTTGTCATCATTCCAGTCAGACATTTTTGTCTCCATTTAGATTTTAAATTATTCAGTTATTGTCTCCAAATTCATTTCTTCAAAACTAAATTCCAAAACTAATATTAACAAGAATGCAATCCAACTATATTACATGTACCATTATTTCTCATGCCATTCAAGAAATCACTAATCAGTATTTCATTACCAGATGTCAAAATATGATGGGGGAAGGGATTTTATCTTAAGTTTACCTTAACTCTGGTTATGGATAAAACTGTGCTTTAAAAAAAAAAAAAAAAAAAAAAAAAAAAACCCACATTGCTTACTAACTAAACAAAACTTCTCTTGTAATCAAATTTAAGCACTGATGAATCTAAGTCTGTTGAAGATTGTTAGAAATGAGATTACCGAATCCTTGACTCATGTCTACTCCAATTAAGTAAAAGTTCCCCTTCATTCCATGTTGCTGACACATTATGTGAAGGTCTCTATCACTTCAATAAACCTTTTTCTTCACTTCCAAGTCTATAACACTATCTGTGCAAGATTTACAAAGTGCATATTACTCATCAGAATTCAGGCCACTCCAACTACTCAGGATAATCCCCAGGTGTGATCTTGTCTGGTGTAAATCTTTAAATGGACAACTAAAGCAGAAGTCTTAGAAAGAAGGGAAAAGAGTTTATATGCTATTAAACCATATCTCCACTTACTGTTCTAAATATCTCTGTACTCAAAACGTGGCATTGAGAGTAGAAGCTCTGTGGCACATAATCTGTTACGAAATACTTCAAAGCTAAAAGATCTGATTACTCAGTATAATCTGTGGAGCAAGCTGAAGGATCAGATCATAGAAGGCAAGGGGGAAACAAGATAATAAACAGAAAAAAGTAGTGACAGAATACCAGAAAAAATAGAAAGGTCAACTATTATTCAGATTTCTCATATTATCTGACAAAAAGGAAAACCCAACAGAGAAGTTTGTGTAAATTTTATTATTACCTTGTTTCCCCCTCTCTCAGCCTATCGACACTGATTGCCTACCTATTTTAGGATACCTCTGGAGTTTTGCTGTATGCACTGAAACAGAACATTTTTTAAGGCTAAAGGTGAAAGTAAGAAATTTAGAAATAAGAAAGGCAAACAAAACCAGACACAATGAAAAAAAAAAAAAACCACAAGCAAGACATTTCTTTCTTCTGCAAGTGCATTTATTTACAGGATTAAAATGCCACTGCATTTTAACTGCAGAGTTAGTGTACTGTTCAGAGTCTCTGCCAAAACAAACAAACAAAAAAAAAAAGCAAAGAAGCTTTGGAGGCTGGATAGACTAAGAATTTACAAATTTGTCAATTTAAACTGAGAATATACAATTCTACTACATCTAATGGAGAAAAATGCATTGGATTTCACAGCAAGAATAAGAAAGTGTTATAAAGGTAGGTAACTATATGCAACCAAACTGATAGTTCTCATTTTTACAAAATTAATGATATATCAAATCGTTTTTTTTTGCCACTTTTAAAGAAGTTACATACAGCTAATGGGAAAATCACTATTCGGTGAGTATACCTTTAAACTCCATTTTTTTTCCAAATACTTCTTTTAATAGAGAAGCCAGACATCATCATCAACAGTGATCAAGACAATATTTTTGCTATTTTCATTAGTATCCTATTTTCAATAGGATAACTACCTATTGGAATAATCACCACCAACGTCTGGTTAAAGTCAAGATTGTCTTTGAAAATACTTCCACCTACAAAAATGCTTCTGCCTATAAACAGAATAGAAAACCACAGCCTGTGGGCTAGATCCAGCTGACAGCAAATTGGTGGGTTGTTTTGTGTTCTCCGTCCTGTTGAATGACTGGAAATAATACCTATGACACCATCAAAAGGCAGGTATCCCCCATCCTATCACTAGCTGTCCAGCCATTATATTACAAGACTCCAGTGGCAGCTAGGACACATGATACACACTCCTGGTCACGTGACGAGGAGCACTCAGGGAGTGTGGACCTCTCCTCTGTACAGCTGAGGTCACAGACTGCTCTGATCAAAACAGGATCCCCACCGCATTTAACACAGATAATTCAGATACCTTGTCATTACCTTTGATGTATTATTACAGAAGGATGGAATCGTGGTAGGGACCTTTGGAGATCATCTGGTCCAACCCCCCTGCTCAAGCAGGGTCACCCAGAGCATGTTGCCCAGGACCCTGTCCAGACAGCTTCTGATTAACTCCAAAGATTGAGACTCCACAACCTCTCTAGGCAACCTGTTCCAGCATTCAACGACTCTTACAGTAGAAACATTTTCTTACATTCAGACAGCATTTCCTGTGTTTTAATATGTTCCATTTGCCTCTTGTCCTGTCACTCTCTGGGCACCACTGAGAAGTGTTATACCAAACGGTATTATACCAAACCAAAAGCACCAAAACTACAATAGTATTATACCAAACACCACTGGCATTATACAAAGCACAAAAAGTAAAGATGTAGACTCTGTAATTCATATTACAAATATGATGTCACTGATGCCAAATTTTTGTTAGCAGACAGCTGAATGGCTTTTTTTTTTTTTTAACTGCAGCCATAAAAAATACAAAATAATATCATGCATAGTCTAATATGTAACTGAACTGAGATTATAAGCTTCTCATACGGCCAAGGCCAAACTATTCTAGAAAAGGAAAAGGAAAACACTGATAACTTTAAAAAAAAAAAACACCTTAAAATAACTTCAACACCCACAGTTCTTTGTATTCTGCTCTACAAGATATTTAAAATAATAGTCCTACATCACCATAAATCTTACCTGGTACAACTCTGAAATATACTGTACTTGTTATGATTTAAAGATCCAAGTATAATTTCGGACGACTTTTGCAGAGTATACCATACTGTCATCACTCTATATCTGCCCTGAAATTAATGGAATCCTAGGACAGACTAGATATTATTCCCAAACCACAACAGATGCTCCTTATCTTCAATCTAGAACACCAGACAGCACTTGTTCTTTTAAACGCCATTCAATAATTTGACAGCCACCTTCACAGAGTTATAAAGACTGGGTCTAATCCTAACTAATATGGGAACAATTTCGAAGCAGCTCAGGATGCTTAGCAGCTTCTATAGTCAAATGGCATGAGATTTAAATTAAACAACTTCGCACATAAAAGATGCGTGTTGTTAAGTATTTGTTTGAAGGTTTAGGGGAGCAATTCTACATGAGTGAATTGAATGGTTCTGCTTTTTTCTTCTGAGGGAGCTAAAACAGGTTCCAAAACACATTTTTCAGGCTGTTAAATTTTAGCCCCTGTAAGATTTCATATAAGGCAATAATAACTGTTAGCCTGTAAAAAGATGTCAAAAATACCTTAAGCCCCAGTGACACAGACACATCCATCTGTAGAAGACAAAAAAATTTCTTTGTAGGAAATAAAAGTTTAAAATGATTTTTCATGTACCATTTTAGTTAATTAAATATATTTTTTTCATTATTCTTTAACAGGACACACTTTCTGGTAAAGGCAATTCCACATCTACGCACATACACTCTCAGCTTCAATCATGTCACTTAAGGAGAGAGAGAGGAGAAACAAGTAGGTGATCCCGAGGGTGTGGACAATGATTGAAATATACAATTGCATTTTCAACATAATTAGCTCCCTAATTGCATAGCTCAGTTTAATTAATGCAATTACATGAGCAATTAATTACTATTAATTTTAATAGTACTGTTTTTAATGTTTTGTTCTCTAATTTTAAGAATTAGAGACACAGATCTCAATATGAAATTATTTTGAAAAGTTTCCATCATATGCATTGAAAAGGCAAGACATGAAGTTTACATCAAGTGTAATTGTTAACTCTCAGAAAACAGATGCATTACTTCTAACTTGTAGAGGTAACAAACTGGCTCTCCATTCTTCTAAGCTTTTGAGTTTCTGGTCAAAAATTCGAAGGAGGCTAAGAGATTAGACTGTGTTAGAAAGGAGCCTGGGGACCATGTTACCTTGTTACGTTTCCATATGCAGTTCCCTGAGCAACTAATGTGCTGAGAACAATTTGTGATTTTGAATGTTATTCCTCCATTCCTTTCAAATCTACTTTTTCCTACAAAATCTCTACAGTCAACTCCAGTTCTGCCCTGTTAATCTCATGAGTAATCTCATTAATTTAGTGAATAAAAACTTTTAAATTCACTATATTAACTGGCTTTTATTAACAAACTCCACATGAATCTCGCATATAATTTCATTTCTAAATTTCATGCTTTCACTCACTCTACATATTATCATGTAGACTTGATGCTTTAATGCTAACTGAACTTCCACTGCAATCAGGTAGCTCACTGGAGTACAACTGTAACCCAGAGAGCCTGACCTGTACATTCATTCATTCATCTCTTTCTCTCTCTCTCTCTCTCTCATCCTCACTCAGGTACAGCCAGACATTTCAGGCAGATTCACTAATCTGAGAGAGGTTGTTTTTCCTACCATTCACTAATCTGAGAGAGGCTGGTTTTCCTACCATTCACTATGCTGTGGATACGGCTATACATTCCCAACTCAACAATTTGGAGGTTATATTTATTATAGAGCATGACAAAGGAAATCTTAACTTTTAAGAACCTTCCAGTATTGGGAAAAAAAAAAAAAAAAGCTGCAGAAGCTTGCAGACAGCTTCTAGGAATAAGATATTACATCTTTCTGCCCCAGTATTTATCAGCTAGTAAGTACTTCTTGTTCTACTTCTAAGCTTTTTGGCTTTGTATTTTTTTTATCTCAGATCCTCTGCTCTGACATAAATTATTCAGTTAACCAGTCACAGGTCTGCTCTCACTTACTCTTAGTGTCTTCTTGGTGAAGCCACCATCTTTTGAAGAAGATAACAGTCCTGTGGTTCATAGTCTTGGAAAAATGCCCTCCAGGATAGGAGCAACAAATAATTTTTTAGTCAAGACAAAACAACTACTTCCTAAAACTGTAAATTACAAGTCACAAGAGTCATCTGCTCCTACTTTCTGAAATATAATGGAATCAAGATTTGTCTGAAACTACAGAGAAAATTCTCTCAACCTTTGTCTTTTCTAATTATAAGGGGAAAAAGACGGCGGCGCGAGGGGAAAAAGACGGCGGCGCGAGGGGAAAAATCCTTATTATAAGCTGATAGATTATCTAGAGTTAAAAAAAATTCTTCTTAGCCATTACATCTTTTCATTACTTGTGAATGCTTCCTTCTCTCTTCTGTGACTGCACAGCTGCATCTCTAAACCTGAAGAAACCAGGTGAAGAATAGGTGGCCCAAATGAAACAAGTGCAATTTAAGGAATAAAAACTATCTTTCAGATACCCAAGACTTAAAATAAGGGGAAAGACTCCCCCTCCCCACCACAAAGTGTGTTTTCTTAAAATAGGAACCCAAGAACAGAGGGCACCATGCTACCAATTGCTTAAGAAACAGTGACAACATTAAAAACATGCAAGTCTGTCAATTAGGCAGAGCAGTCACCTAGCACAATTCACTAAAAGTTTCTTCCGCATATATTCTACAAAAACCGCTACTAAGGATTTTCTCCTCTGCATTATGAAGAGTATGATGCAAACTATAGCAGGATGGACTTCACTTAACTCTCAGCATGGTGCTGTCCACTAAAAAGTCGGACCAGTTTTGTCTAGCATATTATCATCCATAAAAGCAATAAGCAGGACTCATGCACTTTCGTAATTATCCATGATGTTGAACTACTACATAATTAGCAAAAAAAAATACCTAAAAGAAGTTTTACGGGAAGATCAGAAATTGTTTCCTGATCACCACACACTGGTGCTTTCTTTCTGTGTATGTGTGAGAAGTAGTACAATTTCTCTGAACCAGTGCATGGGAAATGGAGGATATCCTTTGTTGGAAATAAGCCCAGTGTGTTATATTTCAGTTTGAAAGTGTTTAGGTTAAAACTAGGAAGTGCACATTTCTGTTTGTCAAGATAAACAACTTTTTCCTATGCTTAACAGTGTAAGATAGGCAATGCATCATTCACCTGACATGTACTTCATATTGTTTGCACAAATTTGTGCGTAAAGGATTAGCATGCTTTGGATGGAAAACACAGTTTTAAAAGGAATGATATACCAAAACTCAGAATTAGCTTAAAGGCCAAAGATGAGCTCAGGTGTCTTTTGTTAATGGAAACATTTTTCTTCTAATAGTGCTGTCCTTGGCAGTCCCAAAGCCCAATTACAATATGCTACTTCATAACATTCCTGCCTTCTAGCCATTTTGCAGTCCTCAAAATCAGCAACGGTAAGGTTAAGACTAACATTTCCCGTTCTGTGTCATAACTACAGTATTTTTACTTTACCACAAATTTTCCTAAAGAATGAGACATTTTTCTACACTATATATTGTTTCAGGATAGAAAAAGTTTTCCTGGCAACATTCAGTGTCATGGTGGCTTTCCAGATTACGTAAGACGAGCTAGAAAGTTGAAGGAGTTGAATAACGAAGGATTTGAACAACTGTCTTCTAAAAATTCAGCTTCGTCACACGATCTTTAAGACGACCGTTGAGGTAGCATTAATTCCAGAACGACCTAATACCACTTATCAGAAGACATGAAAACATCCTAAAAGAAATCAAGATCTCACAGGCTAATGTTAATTTGTTCTATTACTGTCAAAATGCCAGTGACAAATACAACAAGAACTGCATTGTTTGTTTTATGGCTTTTACCATGCAGAATCCAAAAATCAGGTCAGAAGACCTTGCTGCAACTCCACACTGCGCCCATAAAGCATTTGAACGATAGGTAACTATTCACAACATTGGTCTTAAGTGCATGAAGTATAAGATGCGAAGAGGTGTTTTGTCTAAATATATCTCCACCATAGGGAAAACCCAAGAGAAAAAAAAAAGTCAATGAGTAGATTCCAAAATAATGAAAGGATGACAGAAAGTCTTAGATTAATAAAACTATTCTGAAAGGCTATGATCACAGGGATAAGTGTTCGGAATGCTACAAAGTGGAAAAAATATCTTTTTAAGTGATAAATAACAGGATGTTGAATGACAGCTATCTGATGATTACAACCCCATGTACAGAATTAGTGATAGCAGTCAATCACCGGATCAACAAAAAAAAATATGAACTTATTTCAGATAAATGCTTTTTTGTAATCTGTAAACACAACTCTGGTCAACTCGGTTACAAGTAGATTTAGAAACAGTTAACCTGGAAGCCTACAACCCAAAACATGTTCATCCTTAATTTACAATCCAGGATTGTTCCAAATTGGTATCAAAAAACACAAAGAGAAATAAAGGGGATAAACTACAGTATTAAAAAATTGCCTTCACTTGCATTGACTTCAGTACAGGTCCTCTCTAAAGATGTGTTTCATCACATATCCAATGCATTAAATGAAAACATACAAGCCAGTAGAATCTGGTGTCTTAATCTGTTATGATGTTATTTAAGGTAACTAAGGAAAAATTGGCACTACTTTTTAAAGAATGAGCATTTTTGAGGAATATGCAAAAAAAAAAAGACAATGATAGAAGGTAATGAGATTAATAGAGGTCTTCAAAAAAAAGTGGGGGGGAGGGAGAGAGAATTTAAAATAGCACGTACTCAGGAAAAGAAGTTTCAGGAATGGCTGGTTTAGTTCAAAAGCCACCCGATTTGAGGAGGACAAAGTTCATAAATATTTCTAGTAATAAAGGGATCCACATATCTGAGGCAGGTATTGTATTAGAAACCAGACCCATGAGAAAGATATTCTTGGAGAAATTGAATCACTGAGTGGGCAAGAAATATTTGCCCTTGAAACATTTCCAACTCCAACAACCCCAAACTAGGAGAGTGCTAGGATATCAAATGATTTTCCAAAACCACCTAAAAAGAAGCCAGAGACGCTGTAGGATTTATTTTTTTCTTAAAGAACTTAATATCTTCTCTACACCAAAAGTACATTGCTTCTAGCCCCAAAAGGGAGTTTCCGCCAAGACTGCAGGAAAGTAAAAAAATCCAGAAATAGAGTGTTACATTCAACTAATTACACTCTTAATTGCTCTCTTCTTCTAACAGCCTAATGAATAGAGCAAGTTTCAGTTTCAGTATGCAGCCCAAAGTTTTAAGTGCCACAAAGGAGACAGCTGGCTTGAAATACCTATGCTAAAAATCAGAGATGTTCACGTGACCTGTAATGAAGACTCAGAATAAAGAATATCTACTCTCCTTGCTTTCCACACAAAGCATCCAGGAGATAATATGCAGGAATTTATTCTGTATAACCTGAAAAGAAAACACTGTACGTCATGGAAGCTGATAGTCTAGAGTAAACCTAAGAGAACGTGGCTGATTTTATATTTTCAGTCCAGTGGACCACCATGTGTTAGCGGAGCTCCTTCCTCTTTTCAATTCTTTGGCAAGGGCCTGATGGCACTATTGACTCAACTTACTTTTCTGAGTCAGTAGTCTGAAAAGCATCCCAAGGCATACACCACTTTCATTTCAACCTTCCCCAGGCACACATCAAAGTGATGCAGACGGAAGCCAGCTGGCAAGAAGCAGGTTCCAAATGTTTGCATAAACTGCAAGTTAACTATTAAACTATTGGCAAACAGCCCAATTCCAGTCAGAGGCGTTCGCCTTCATTAAAGCCCAACAAAATAAAACAAAAACAAAGTCTCTAAGCTAAGGCACTCAAGATGTTACCTATGTAAAATAAACTTTTCATTTTAATGGTCAGATTCAACTTGGCTTTTATTCACTGCCCGCACTGTGTACCTGCACAAGGAATCTTCTTGCCATTTAAAACCAAATCTGTCTGTCCTTTCTAGGAAACCAAATATCACCTTCTTTTTCCCTGTACTAATGTGCTGCACACAAAAGGCACAATTGTTTTGATTTTTTTTTTTTTTTTTTTTAAGAAAAGCATAGCTCTCTCAGACATTCCTAGTCTCAAACGTCATACTTATCTTTTGAAAATTCTTAAATAAAGGCTGAAGCATGCCATTTCATTTATAGACAATATTATGATACCGGCTGTCAACGTTTTTTATAATCTTGAAATTCAAGAGACAGTAACTTTTGAGTTTTGCAATGGAAATTTAGCTTTGGCATTAACAAGGGAGAGAAGGGGCACATCTACACAGATGATTCAGTCAGACATGAGCTCAGTCAGTCCATACTCCAAGCTGGCCGGACACAAGCCAGTTCTAGTTTAGAAGCCATATAGCTGTGTTAGCACAGCACTGTGCCCACACTAATAACACCTGCTGAGAGGAAGGGTACATTAGGCTGGGTACAGTCCTACACTGTCTGGCCAACTTGAATCAAGAACAGAGGATTCTGGGTCCATCTGCACCCATCCATATAGATACTCTTGCTCAGTAAGACTTTGATTTCTGTGCATCTCTTATTTTGAAGTCTTTTTTTTTTTTTTTTTAAACTTTGTTAACTAGAAGGGCTAAAGCACAGCAGTCTACATTATAAAAGTGAAGTAGCCTCCCGGACCGTAACCATGACAATTCCTTGTGGTTTTTCCAGTTAAGACTTTAAAAAAAATTAGAATAATTCCTAGCACTACAGTGCAATAACAGGCTGGGATAACTGAATGGATTGTCCACTATATTAGTGGCATTTCCCTCGGACATTCATTCTCTTACGGAATTCAAGGATAGTAACTTAATTCTTGTCAATATCTCAAAAAGAGAGGACATGTCTTAAGTAGTATTCATGTCTATCTTAAAGGAAACAAACAAATAGAAAATCAAACTATTTATTGGAAAAAAGCGAATCCTATTTCTTAAAAAGCGCCAGAAAACTTGCCTATGAAAAGAGATTGGGCAGTACAACAAATTATTAGGCCTTCAAAGTTTTGCTCCAAAGACCCAGACAATTAAACTCCTCTTTGTCTGTGCAAGGAAATTACTCAGTGTTCCAAGCATGGGAAGAAAACATATCTTAAGATCTACTGACATACAAACCAAAGGAGAGGTGTGCATCTCTGAGGTCAGATAACCAGCCCCAAAGATCAAGAAATAAAATTGTAACGTGAACACATTAGTAACACTGAGTTTTTCCTCAACAACCACCCCTTACATAACTTTTCCATTTTATATTTTCTTCATTTAGAAAAGAGATTAAAGAAACAAAACAGTCAACAGATTTAGTCAGCCAACACTTGATTTTTAGGAAGTACAATAAGAAACCCTCCAATTACACAATATCAACTGAACCGGCTCTTTCATTCTTGTCTGTGAAAAGGCAGACAAGGTAGAATGGCAAGCTATTGCAGTATGAAATTTCTGTGTCTATTATAGAATAATTTCTTCACACTCCCTAAAACTTTCCTGTTGTCTAAAATGAGTACTCCATGTTTTTATACCACATGCAAATATTACTTTAAAATGAACTATATGTTGCTGAATAAAAGTTTTAAGCCAATACTTAAGATATCTGCAGCAGCCTTCAGACTCAAAGCCACTGAGGTGACCTGGAGTTTAGCTCATTTGAAATAGCAAATTTAGTCTAGGCAGTAGCCTTCAAATCAAACATTTGATTTGATCAAATCAAAGCAAATCAAGTTTTCTTACACAACAGTCTTGCAAAAAGTGAATTCTCATGTCTACTTCTTTTTTAGCGTTTGTGAACTAAGTGGGGGTCCATCTGCATGTCTATGCACCACTGTGGACACAAGAAGCATAAAAAACTATGCAAACAACTGCAGGTGGACTCAGTTATCCAAGTAACTAAAACATTTGATAATGTAAGCAGAGAGAGGTGACAGAGGAGGATGGTTTAAAGAAAGCAAGATTTGTGTTGATTTTATTTGGAATAGCCTGTGCTCTGCATAAATACTAGCTACTATTAAATAATACTTAGCTAGTATCTATTAAGTATAGTCTGATATCTAATGCAAAGTGTTTATTATTGGCTAAAAATTACATAGCTGACTTCAGAAACATAAATTCAGTATTCACAGAGGATTCTGGGACAGTGAGATAAAAAGAGAGTAAAAAATAAATATGTTTCAGGTTAACTTTGCATACATGCAAGAATACTCAAAACAACACTGGCAAGAGTAAGTTCTAACAAATATCATTTGCTAGTGACAATCAAGATAATCGAGCAATTTTCTGGCTAAGCGGCAACGCTGGATATGCAGGTCGAATGTACTATAGTTGTAAAGTCATATATCATGCACGGTCGCACAAGAAAATCTCCGTGCACAGAAACTATTTTCAGAGAGAAGCTGGACCCTACTCTTAGTGACAGCAG